TTGTCATGTCCTCCCTTTGGCTCCAGCTTTCCCTTTTCTTTCCTCACTACCCCCCCCCACCCTCCCTCTCCCTCTCTCTCTCGCTCTCTCTCTCTCTCTCTCTCTCAACGAGCTTCCTCTTCTTCATCTATCATCTATTCTTCATGCATGGTTTTTCTTGGACCACAACATATCTTGTTCAGTGGTTGATCTCCTTTAAAAAAAAAAAAAAATTGTTAAGCTCCTTATACTTCCATCGTTATTTCTTCTCTATTTTATCGAACTCTTAGGTTCTATTTGGGCTCCATTACCAACTTATCGAGGCTGAAATCCGGGTTGTTGGTAAGCGAGAGCGAGAGAGTTGATTTGCGCAGAGACAAGATGGACGGGGAAGAGAAAGAGAAGGAACGCCGGGCAAAGGTGAAACTGAAAAAAATAAAAACAAATCAGTTTCCTTCCGTTTTTCTCCCCATTTCCTCCCAATTTTGGGAAGAAAATGGATCCCATCACTTATAGATTTGTTTAATATTTTTTTCTTTCCATAGCTTTCTTCCGCAAACCAAACGGAGGAAAATTTTCATTTTCTCCCTATTTTCTTTCCCCTCCTCTCGCTTTCCACTCTATCCAACACAAGGGGTAAATTAATAGAATGGATATCTTAACTATTGTTATTTTTTCATAGGGATGGTAATAGATGGATACCCAACCTATTAATTCAATTTTATCTTACTTATAAAAAAAATATTTTATTTATTAAAAAATCACATTATAAATCTTTATTCAACTCATGCGTGGTCTATATTTGTTTACAATCCATTTAGTATCCACCGGATACATGCTAAAAATAATTTATCAAAATATTTCATTTTAGTTTATGTAATTTTCAAAAAAAGTTTTTCGAGTCCTCTAAATTTAATAATTTTTATATTTTGATCCTTTGTTTATAAGTTTTGTAACCTTAAAATTTTTGAAAAAATATTTTGGTTTTTAATTTTAAAAGTTTTGGTCCTTTTAAAAGAACATATTAAATAAATATTGATTGTTCCTCCGTAAATTTTTAAAAATTTTCAAAATTAGTTATAAAATCTTGAACTAAACTTAATTACTTCCTATTTAAAAAAAATCAGCTAGATTTTGGACGTGAAAGTTGAAGAAAATACGAACGTGAGATTTTTCATCAAAAAAATTCATTTGTATTTTTCTTCAATTTTCACATTTAAATCTAACTAAATTTTTTTTAACAGCAATCTAATTAAGCTTTCGGCATGACAAAAATGGTTTTCCAAAGTTGGTGGTTAACTGGTTATGTTTGCCTTAAGTATCATTTTATTAGCTTAATTAGCTGTTTTCTCTTTACTAAGTTATTCAAATTTGCATCATGCTTGTTTGAATAAACAACAAAAATGAAAATAAAAACTCATTGTGGACCAAAAAATTCTATTTTTTATTCTTTTTTAATATATTTAACTTGAGCACTACTTTATTTAAAAATTCAGGACGTGAGGGAATATTGTATTTCTTTGTTAGGTCGAAATCCATTGAATAATGTTTAAGTTTGGGTTTCTTCCCTTATCGGAATTTTATTTAATTTCAATCCTGCTGTTCCTTTTATGCATTTAAAATAGGTCCATACCATTAACAGCATACAGTTGCTCGATCATTCTAGAAGCCTGTGCATTTCTTTCCTTTTCTTCGTGAGAAAAAATGAGAGGCAACGTGGCAATCAAGTCATGCCCAACTATAATATTGTAATATTCGCTGAAGAGATTTCTTCCACCTTCAGCTCTCTTTCCAGGCTTGCACACTAGACATACTCAATTCTCAATCGTGGATAAGAATGGCAATTGATCGAATGTGAAGCTACGATTCGTTCTACCTGAACTAATAAATATCTATCAAAATTGTTTAATAGGCAGTGAGATGAGTAAGAATAAAAAATATATTAATATAGTTTTTGAATATAAATATCTACTTGACATCCAACTAATACCAACTAATTTTTTTTTAAAAAAAAATAGCATGGAGGGACCTAATTATACAAAATTTATAAATTAGGAACTAAAATGTTTTATATGAAAACTTTATTGACCAAAAAATTTATAGCAAAATACCAAATTTCAAAAAGTATTATTCCAGAGGAACAAAATAACTTTTTTTAAAAAAATTATAAAAACTAAAAATGAAATGTTTGACAAATTATTTTTAGTAAATTTTAAATGGATATTATATATGGACCTATTAGGGGTTTGGAAAATCATTTCTTAACGAATATTAACATAATATTTTTATAATGAATAAGATAAAAAAATTAAATTAATAGAATGGATATTTGAACTATTGCCATTTTTACATAGAGATGATAATAGACGGATATCCAATCTATTAATTTAATTTTATCCTACTTATAAAAAAATATTTTACTTATTAAAAAATCAAGCTACAAATCTTTATTCAACTCATAATAAACCTATATTAGTTTACAATCCATTTAATATCCACCTGGTACATGCTCAAAATAATTTATCAAAATATTTCATTTTAGTTCACATAATTTTCATAAAAAAAATTGATCCTTTAAATTTAATATTTTTTATATTTTGCTCCTTTATTTATAAGTTTTGTGTCCTCAAAGTTTTTGAAAAAATATTTTGATTTTTAACTTTAAAAGTTTATGTAATTATATCTCTATGTATTAAAAAAAATTAAAATAAATTAATGAGTATTAATAAAATAAGTATTGAGTATCTATATTTTAAAATCACATTAATAAATAAGTATTATTCCATTCTTATTCACTTTAATAGCTATTAAATATTTTAATAAATATTTATTAAATTAAATAATCGTTTTATATTGCCATACCCCTTTTTAATGCTCGGGGCTGGCATGCATTTATTGACTGCCTTATGGTTAGTCCTCGGTAAAAACAAAGTACGTATGCGAACCATACACTTGTGGCATATGCTACGACAAGATGCCTGAAATTATTGTTTGAAGCATTGAAAGAAATTGTTTTGTCAGTAACTGAGCCTCGTGTGCCTCTTTCATCGAGCTTTTCAGTTTCGTGTGGGAGTTTCTGTTTCCCTGCTCTTTCCCATGTGGTGGACGGCTTCAATGATAATTGTCTTCGCTTTCTTCACACAATGAAAGAAAGAAAAACTGCATTAAAATTCAAACACATTCTTTTGCCATCTTCTATTTTCCTTTTTCTTTAATCTTATTGGGTTGGTTTGACTTTGTTTATTTTAATTAATCAAAAGGGTCCGGTCAGTCAGGAGTTGAAGGATTTTCAATTTCATTTTCATTCAATTATTATTGCTCCTACTGCAACAGGTGAACGCAAGTAAGCTGACCACGTGAAACAACGAGCTTTCCATGTAGGAATAGGAATGGCAATGGAGCGGGGCGGGCCATCCCCGTTCCTGTCTGGTTCTTGAAAATTTTTTCTCATTTTGGTCTCGTGTTTCATTCAGGATAAAATTTATTATATTATTTTTGTCTCTAACGGGATAGAGATCTCTATGAGATACTGATAGGGTAAACGAAACAAAAAAAATTATGAAGGACGAGAAATTTTAAATTATACAAAAAAAATAATAACTCATGTAGAAAATAAATCTTAAAAATTATTAATTATAAATTTTATATAGAATATAATTATAATTTTACAAAGAAAAAATCATAAAATAAGATAAACAGACGAGCAAATACCAATTTGTCCCATTTTCGTTCATGGGACGCTCCGCCCTGATCAACATAGAGAATCCCCACGATTGATTGCAACAGGGAGGGCCAAGGCTCCATCGAGATTGGTAAATTGTCATTACTATTTCCATCTTCTAAATCTTAATCAAGGAAATGCAGCTCAAAAACCAATAAATTAAAATCAAAGATGATTAATTTCTTTCTGGTTCTGAATCTTGAACCTTGATCTGGTGATCTCCAACCTTTTAGTAACTATTCAATCAAATATAATCCCATAAAAAAATGGAGTATAATACTTTTTGTTCTTTTTAATGTAATTTTGCAGGCCTACAGCTAGGATTAGTCTCTGACCAACCATTGATGCTAAAACTAAAAAACCCTATTACCTTCAGGAAAAATCTCTCTCTTTCAAATTCTTCTCCTTGATTTCAAAGCGGAGATGAAATTTTCTTTCTTGGAATCTTCTCCTTGATGTGCAGGGTAAACGCCCAACTTATCCTGGGCTAAGAATAGGAGGATCTCAGAGTTTTAAGTTTCTTTTTTCAGCAGCAAAAGAATAGGAGGATCTCAGAGTTTTAAGTTTCTTTTTTTCATCAGCAAAAGAATCTAAATTCCACAAAAGTACTAAACTGTGATTTGAGAAAAAGAAAAAATAAAAAACCCAACTCCCAGTAAGTTTTTTTCTTTAAAAGAAAAGTGTATCGCAGTTGACGCGTTTATGGCCGTTTTTTCCAAGTGTGGGTATGCTGACCATTCCACCAAAGTGCTCAACTTTGTTTTTCAAATACACCTATAATCTTGAAAAGGCTCAAACTTTCCCTTCCCCAAGTGCTGCATTTTTTTTATCCTAACAGATCCAAAATTGATAGCTGTTATACAGATGGAAAAGAACCACTTTACAGCTATGAATTTTCTGTTGCTTCTCTCTGAAATTAATTCATCAAGTTGATGGTGATTGATCAAATTAAACATAACAAAACATATTAACATACCCACCTTGACATCAATTTCAACATTTGTTGGATTCAAGGAGGAGGAGATCCAGAATGGAAGAAGAAATAGACAGAAGAAACAGAGAAAAACAACAGAGATGGAGGAGGAAAAATGTACACATACATAACATCTAATCTAACGTCGCACTACAATACCCATGAAATTCTTAGCATTAAAACATTTCTAACATCCTTACAAAAAGAACCCATTTGATCTAATCATTCATTTTCATGGCAAACTACACAAACCATTTGATAGATCAAACACTAAAGACCAAATTATTCAAGAACAAAACCAATCCCCACCAGAAAAAACTAGAAAGATCAGACCTTAAAAGAACCAACTTGGTCTTCAAGATCGTGACTTAACCTCCTTTGATGAGAAGGAGTAGTAGTACTCTTCCCTGCTTGTAAAGAAGGTGAAGAAGATGGAGAGGAATGACAGGAAGAAGAAGAGTTAGCAACCATCAAAGCCAAACTTCCTTCACTCCAAGACCTCTTTATTGGATACGACACATTTTTACACCTTGGCATTGCATGTGGACAATTCTCTTTCGATTTGTGAAGTGCACATCTGCAATTGCGATGGTATGGCCTGCGATCAATACCCAGGTCCCCACCGGAGAGACATCCGTCATAGACATAACGGAAGAACCCATCGGCAGATCCTGTGGCCATGTTGTTCCTCACAACCACCACCTTGTAGCAAAGTTTAGCTAAGCACCACCTTGTACTCGGAGATTTTTCTCTCTTTGTTTCTGGCCAAGAGGAATGATAGTGGCAATTTTTAGAAAGGGGTGCTTGTGGGGATTTTATATAGAAGAAGAGTAAGAAAAGCAAAGAAGCAGTGGTGGCATGGCAGAAGGTGAGGGTGTTTGTTTTTTTGTTGCGTAGCGATACGTGCGGCAATAGCGTGGTCATTGCCGTGTCTTATGCGCAGGTCATAGACCCAGGTACAACTGTTGTCATGCTCGTAAGGTCTTTTGTATTGCTACAAGAAATATAGAAAAAGGAAATTGAGCTAAAATTAGGAGGTCCAACTATAGTCTTTTCAGGGATTAATTGCCTGATTCATCCTTCCATTTTTTAATTTTCTTAATAGGGTTTTTTTATTTTTATTTTTATTCATTGAGTTGTTTGGTTCTCTGTATTTTTCTAATGTGACTATTCCAATGAGATTTTGGTTAAATTTTTTGCTAATAAGTAACATGTAGTATGGCATGCCAGCTAAGAGTGACACCTAAAAAAATTAACTAAAAATAAAAAAATGATAAATTATATAAAAAAATTAAAATATATTAAAGGAAAGAAACAGTAACAAAAAAAAAATTTTGTTTTACCTTCATTCTTTCATCTTTTCATCATTGCAGTTAAAATCTCTTTCTATGGCCATCGGATTTTCCTAATTTTTCTTATTTCCAAAAATCCTAAATTCTAAGTCCTGATTCTTTTTCCACATCCCTTTTCAATGCGATTTATCATCTTTTGTCCAAACCACCATTAAAGAACCAAAAAAAAAAAAAAATTGTACAATTGATCAGTACAACGGTGGATAAATTATAACCTAATTTGTTATTTATAACACTGACTAAACATTTCATCTAATATTCCATTATTTATGACAAAACATTAAATTATAAATACATAATTCTTTTTACCATGCAATATAGAAATAATAATGAATAAAAAAAACCCAAATTTTCTATTTTGAAAAATCCTAAAATTTGTTTGTTCATCTAAATAATCATTTCCCTCTATTTCTCTATCTTTTTAGGTAAAACTCTCTCTTATAAACTCAAAAGGAAACAACCTCACCATGAACATGTTGATGAAAAACATGGTTAGATTGTGGTGGTTTTCTTCTATGGTGTCTTTATGTAGGGTTAGGTGGCATGGTGGGCAGAGGGTGCCGTGGTCTCTGCAGCCTCTGACTCTTGTATGGCCGTATCATCTTGAATGATGGGAGTGAATAATATAGTTAATTTGGGTTTCTTTTTTCCACCAAAATAAAAAAATATATATTATCTTGGTTTCTTCAGCGGGTTTTTTTCTTTTTACTAATTTATTATTTTTATTCATAATGTGCTTGGTGAAGAGAATTAATAAATATAGAAAATATTTTTTTATCATAACTGAGAAGAGAATTTTGGAAAATAGGATACAATAAAAAAAGAAACCAATATAGATATTCGATTGATTAAATTTAACTTTAACGATGCTTGTCTTTCAATTGAAAAACTGAATACGAGCACTTAAATAAAATAAAAAATAGTCAATATAATTGTTAGTTTTATAATTAACTTTTATTAACTCTAATAAGACGAGAACTATTTTTCACTAGTAACTATGTATTTAACGAGTAAATTATAAATTAGTCATTCTTTTTTTGAGAAACGAATTAATGAGTTCTTTTCATTTCAAAATTTAATTATTTAATTTTTTTCAATCAAGCTTAATTATGATTAATCTAATTTTTTTATTTTATAAAATATTTTTTCTTTTCATATTTTTTACTTATTTTTTCTTTTTTATTTCTTAAAAAAATCAAAATAAATTAAAGATAATGAAAAGGACTAAATGATTGGGTTTTGAAACCGAAAAAATTAATTAATTCATTTTTTGAAATCATAGGGATTAATTTATAGTCTACTCTCTATTTAACCGGCATGTTATTTTTCAAACCAAAAATAAAAATAAAAGTATTCAATGGATAAAATGTCGAGAATGTATAAACCATAGATTATATATATTCTCCAGAAGAAAAGTACAAGCACTACAAGCATGAAATTTTTTATTTACTCTTCCTAAAAACGATGAATTTGGTATTTTCTGAAGGCTAGTAGAAAATGCCTAAGTTAGGAGAGGAAAAAACAAATGGCAAGTCAGTGTTTGGAGTTACCGACAACAAGATACTCCTGGCAATTAGCATAGGCGATCTCATAAGCTAGCAAATGCATTTTTAAGCTTCCTAAACTGTATGTATAGGAAAGGTATGATCTTCGAGACTAATAGCATGTCGTGAAATGAAAGACGTGTTTTGTAGCAACGCTATAAAACTGAGATTAAACTTTTTTTTCAAGCATTCTTATGTCATGATAGGAATATGGTTATTTATGTTCGAGACTAAAACAGCAAAATTTAATTTCTGTTAATAAATAATATGATTAATCTTATTCAAAATTATAGCAATAAAATTTATTTTCTCTCAACAAATACGATTCAAAATTCTAACTTTACAAATTAATAAAAAATTCAGTTAGTACTACTAGACTAATAACTTATTGATAAAATGAGATGCAACTTTAATTAACAATACTTAATCCGTGAATATTCTTGAACATTGAAAAATAAAAAATAAAAAAAAACCATTTTATTCATCATTTATAGAATTACGAGTATAGAAATCAATAATCTTCATCTTGCCACCTAAGTTTACTTTAGCATTTTTTCCAATAATAATGGCCATCAAAGCTATTAAATTTGGTATTTTCCTTTATTTAAATCTAGAGGCTTTGGTGACCATTAATATCATACCGATATTCTAAGTACGTGCTATCATTATCATAAAGAGTAAATTTTTATAACCTCTTTGACGTACGTATCAAAAAATTATATAATTCATGTAAAAATTTAAAGATTTTAAAATTAATAAAGGTATTTTAAGTGTAAAATGAGATTTTTGTAATATTTTTTTAAAGGTGAAGAAATTCTTGTTAAATCTTTAAATTTTTAGACAGTCTGTATAATTTCACAAAATCTGAAAGAAAAACAAATGGTATTTTATCACATCATATAGTATACTCTCGGTTTTATATATTCACTTTTTTTTTAGAATATAAAAAACATAATTTCAATAGTTATTTATTTTACAGTTCAAATATTTTCATATCAGTATACTCTCGGTCGATAGAGTTTATTTTTCTTTATTTTTTCTTTATTTATTCTTATTATTTTTAACGATGAGTTCTATGGACATTTAGGAACAGTAGATAAGAAGAATCTAAATGAATTTGGTGAGAATCGATCGGATCTATTCGGAAGAATTTGGCCGAACTCCTTACTGAAATCGGCTAGTCAATTTGATTTCTCTTCCCTGATAACTTTAAGGTAGAATTTAATTTGTCCGAATGAGATTTGAATAGTTTCTTATTTTTTCTTTTGGAATTTTTTCATTTGTATCGATTATTGTTTATTAAAATTTTAATGTTTTATTTTTATCTATTAAACTAATATAATTTATGATTTGACTTTTTTAATATATATATTTCAATTGGCTTTTTAAAATATTAAAAAAAATCTCAATCAAATATTGATTCTTTAATTATATTAAAATTCATCTCATCAAAAATTGAAAAAAATAGAAATTAGTATTATTTCAATTATGAATTACCACATCATTAATTATTAGTTTGAGTTTATAAATTTTAATATGATTTGAAGAATAACTATGAAAATTTCAGTTATGATTTGGATAAACATATATTGTGTATTAGTATTATTAATTTTAGTATATTAAACTTTATGTTTTATACAATTAACAAATGTTTTTTTTTTTTTGGAAACAAGAATAAAAAAAAGGATGGCATCAAACTATGTTAACTTTTTGATATTTTATCAAAAAGTTATGTTAATTTAGTATTACATTGTATGATTTTATTAAAATTTATAGTTTGAATTCGTGTAATTTTATGAATATTTTTTTATATGTGAAAAGTTTATAAATTTTAGAACTATGAGATCAAAAAAAAAAAAAATCTTAAAACAAGATAGTTAACACATGATTGAAGAATGTGTGCTTAATTAATTAAGATTTAAAAAAATAAAAAAATCAACTAAATTATAGAAAATATCACATTGTGTTGGTTTAATGAATAAAGGAAAAGAAATTTAGATAAAATTTTAGCAAAATAATTGATACAAAGAAAATTTCAATGAAGAAATTGAGAAATCATCAAATCTCAAGGGAGAAAATTAAAAATTTATCCCAACTTTAACAAATATGCATATATGGCCTAATTGTTTTCATTAGCTAGTCTTCAAGCAAGTTCCCTTTTTTTTTTTTTTTTGCAAGAAACAATATTGACGTTCTACAAAGCGTATCACCAAGTATTACCCTTAGGCCTTATACCAACTATTAGGCAAGTGTCCTATTCTCATTCCTAACATCCACCATCCCTATGATTCATCTTTGGTTACTTTCGCACTTCGTTAATGGAGTCGATTATAATCGAGGTAATGAAACCGATAAAATCCGTAAAGGGAGATTGTTGAAAACTAATCGGACGACTAGTTGGTAAACGAGTTAAGCTCGTAAATAACTAATTTTGTAATCTATAAAAATAACAATCAACCAATTAAGAAAAAATGATTCAAATAATGAGAGGTATGAGAGAAGAAGCGGACATGCTAGTAAGACACAAGTCGTATGGCCGACGGTGTTAGTATAGGTTTTTAAGATTCAACTTGTTTCGGTGGTTTGATATATTATATCGTTGCATTTGCAATATTAATAAAGAGGATTTTGTATTAGTTCTTGTTTATTTATAATTTGATAGAATTATATAGAAGTCTATAAAACATGCATTGCATTAATGATTGACCAATAGATGTTAGATAAACATCAATGCACATAAATGATATTATTAAACGTTCGAAGTCAAAGCATTGTTAAGATTGGACATTAATAACATACGATAAAACTTGTGAGTGCTATGCTCTCTAATAAGATAATAGTATGAGATCTCACACTTACTAACATCACGTATTGGCATGTTGATGCCAAAACAAGCATATAGGTGAATAATATTAGAGAATATATCACTCGGATGTGATTCATCATGAGAACCCATTTGGTATTATCTATGGAAACCTTATACGAGATGGGTACAAGTAGTCTTTTGACTTCAAGTCATCATGGTTAT